AAATATATGTGAACAATTTTGTACAATTAAAATAATCTCGATACGGAGATAATAAATATCTAGATCTTAAAAAAAATATTTTTTTTTAACCTACTGGCTAGGTGTGTTAATGACTTTATGGATTAAGGATAAAGCTCTAGTTTTAAGTTATTTAAAATTCGAAATATAATTTTTTCAGATTGGGCACATTGCTTAAGAGAGGGAGCAGGTGTTGAGAATGATGATGGAGTTTGGGAGATATAAACCAAGGATTCAAATTCTTGCAGGCATCAAGAAGCACAATGCGGGAAAAAACCTGGGTGTGCATATAGGTATGAATTGTTTATTATTTAAACCTTGAGTCTACAAGTCGTCATCCCATTCCAAAGTTTTCTGTAATAGATTTGCATAGTCAAATTTTTATTTTTTAAATCAATTTTTTTGGGGATAAAAAACGTTTTTGATTTTGTACGAAGGTGGGAGGGTTATAATGGAAAATATAGACCACTGCTCAAGTGGGAAAACTTTTTAAAATTTGGTCTCCTTGATTTTGAAAACTTAAAAATAATATGAAATATATTCTTTTCCATTCTAAAGCTTATCCTAACCCTTACAATTATTCAGAGTGTGAGGTCGCTGTATATTGGAACAAGTATGTAGACCGCCCCTGGCTCTTAAAGATAAAAGGTCAAATTACAAATCTGAGGAGACAGGGGTTGGTGGAGGAGGGTCAGACGCGCTACCCTTTCCCAGCAGAGTTCTGTGACCTTCTTCCACAGCCAAATTAATTCTCCCTAACCTCATTTTCATTCTGAACAAAATTTACAATTGCAAAAGTTATTCTGACTATTTAATAAGGCCCTTTTAATCTGTTCTACTCTTAATCTCTACTTTTATACCTTGTTGGACGAAGATGTGTTTATTACAGAGGACCAAAATCTAGTAGTGTAGAGTAGAGTCGAGCAGGCCTTGATATAACCTTCAATGTCTGCACACAGTAGAAAACTTGTCTCAGAAAATGAGAAAGATATATGAATTTGGCGAGGAAGTATTTTGGAAGTTGAGTTGGGGAGGGTAGCTTGAGATGGTAGGATAAATATAACCAGATATATATAAAAACTTCTTAATCTTTAACCAGCAATATGATGTTCTCTCTCTCTCATGAATCGATGTGGTTGCAAATTAAAGAAGTATATTGATCAGATCTGGTCACATAAAGAATATAGGGTTCTTTGCACTCGCTTTGACCGCGAGGGTGGTACGCGGGTCGAACAGTTCTTTTCTTNAATTGTAATCCCTGCTGAGAAGAAAATCCCTTAGTTTTAAGAATTGTGCATCCCTAAGTTCTGGTTTGCTGCAAATTCATACAATTCTGTATGCAAGTGAATAAGGTATGTTGTTTGAAATATGTTCTGGGTGGCAAGATGATGGAAGTAGGTGCATACTTCTATCTGTGGGTTTTCTGTAGAGATCGGTTGTGAATTTTCCATTTGAAAATTTGACATTTGAACAAGAGTAATATAATCACGTTAAAACCTGGCAATTATACGGAAAGTTTACCTAAACAAAAACTGCCCTCGTCAGTAAAAGCAGTTTTTACCAACTCATCGTCCGATAAATCTTTCAGATGTTGACACATCCGGAACCTTTTCTCCATGTCTCCAAGTTGTAGGTTAAGGTGTTGTGCCCTAATCAGCCTAAAAAATTTACAGTTACAGCCGTCAGTTGATGAAAAAATAAGCTAAAAAATAGATGAAGGTTATTTCGTCATTTAGAAATTTATTTTAATGAAAAAGAAAACTTGGGAAAAGATTTTTAAAGAAAAAAGTTAATTGTAAATTTTTATTATGCATTAAAAATGTTAATTGGACTGGTCTGTAAGTGTAATTTCAAGTGACATAAAAAGATGTCAATGACCGATTCACAACGGCTATGGTATCCTTGAAGCCTTTATATGATCTATAATACAGTTTTTAGGTTTAAACTTGTTTAATTCTGATAATTTCTATATGTTTACAAGCAGTAAAAATGCGCAAGTCACTTTTGTACAGATACCGGTATATTCCTAGAGAATAATCAGTTTTCTAAATTATAAACATTGATATCTAATTCATATTTGATCAGACAAAATTTTAAGGGTACCCTTTAACTATGACACTTTATTATGACACTTGTTATTAAGAACTTGTTTGAAAACACTAGAATAAAATTATTTCTGATCAAGCTCTTGAAAAATGTAGATAGAAATATTACTAATTGTTTTTACGTTTTCCAACATTTTCAAGACACTACCCCACCCCCTCCCCCTCTCCAGGTTTTACATAGATTCAGACCCAGTCTTTTTAGGGTTAACAAAGCTAATTAATAAATAGTATTTTATTTTGACAAATAAGTTTTACCTGTAACAAGTAAAATTCAGGTCATTTCTTAAATTCTGTTCCAGGTCGACTTGTAGAGGGTCAGTTCGTTTCTCCTACTGGTGTTTGCTGGTCTATCATACTCAACCCTACAGTCCCTTGTCACCACATTCTCCACCTGCCTCACCACCGCATCCGTCCTTTCTGTCCTCCTTGGTCCACTGTTACCCTTGTAAAGGTTTTCAACTGTATATTTAGTTTCAAATTTATGTGCAAGCCGGTATATTGTTCTTTCACTGGACACTTTTTGACCAGGGAATTGCCTGGCAAAATTTCTCCTCACTCTTTCAACTCTATTCGGGAAATTAGTTAAAGTTTTAAACAGATTCACAATAAAAACTTTTTCTCTGATAAGAAATCTTGTTTGTCTAGCTGCCATGCTGGAAGTGAAGAAACCATGCTTTCAAATTTTGTATTGTTGTACCTTATAAATGTACTGTAAATACTCACTGTATTTCGATTTCATATTTGTTGATGGAGCCTTTATAAATTAAAAAAATCTGTCAATCAAAAATATATTTTAATTGTTTTGAAGTCAACTTTCCTCGTAATGTTTTATAATATGTTTTATGGTATCACACAACTTAACAATTATATGGAAGAATACATTCACATATCATACATTAATTGTCATGTTTTGTGGGACACCCTGTATATATATATATATATATATTATTTTTAAATACTTGGGACATAAAATGTCGTCATCCAACTATGAGTTTGGCCCACTTTAGTATTAGATCACTTTGCCGCCAACCCCAACCCCGCCCTTTAGGGTTAATTTGATGGGACTAACCTTCTTTTAAGAATTTGTGTTCCTGGCTAGCAATAGTTATGTTCTCTGCTAATCTGATTCCAGGCCCCACCAGGACCAGGTACAGGGAAGGATAGGCCGTCTTTTTTAAAACATTTTCCAGAGGAATATGAATTCTCCATAAAGTGTTTGGCACAAATTAGGTTTGGTACATTTATCCAACAGTTAAGATTCTTCCAATCTTTCCTCACTTTAAAAGTGTAATGGTCGGAGAGGAGAAGTCATTAGAATCACAATTCTGAACAGTATCTTTTCATAATGAGTTCTGCGTACTACTGGTCCTCTATACAAAACAAAACACCCCATATATCTGTACTCTGTACAAATAATTGCCGCAAACCTTTATATCCAATGTACTGTATGTCAGTAGCTAGTACCATAGCTAAATTGCCATTTCAAATTTCAATTTTAACTGTAACCCTCCGGTATGGTGAAGACGACGTGAGCAATCTATTCTAATTTATCTAGGATACCTATATATATAAATGCGTGGTACAATGTCTCAGGATCTAATTGCATTTGAGAGACGAACTGTTAAGAGTACGGTATTTTACTTAGGGTTTCCATTCGCAAAACTTTTGCTCAATTTTTGCGGAACGAAACGCAAAATTTTTCTTTCTTTGGGCATCAGTTTTGCGCGAAAAAACAACAATTCGTGCAATCATTCGCAAAAGTCATTTCGCGCAAAATTGCCTTATTCCAATTTTGCGAAACTCAAGTTTTGCGCAAGTGTGTGTTTCTTATAATTCAATTCTGGAAGAATCTTGTTTTGGAATGTCTTCCTATTGGTCACTTTTACATAATTGACCAATGACACTTAAGAAGAGTTCAAATCTCACAATTTTCTCGACAATTTTAGTTTTGGACATGCATATTTCCTAAAAGTGGATTCTTCAAGCATTGGTTACTTTCTTGTATTATTTTATATGAGATTAAAAAGATTTCAGAAATTTGATTTAAAAAAATTAAGAATATAATTCATACTTGATTAGGCAAAGCTTTTAAGGGTCACTTGAAATTATTTAATAGGATTAAAATATTGGCAAGTTTCACACTCTCTAATTTCTATTTTGTTAATTTTGGTCCCTTAATTTAAACTTTTTGTAACTGGAAGTAACCAATTGAGTGTAGTATAATCGTTATCCTACTCGCATGTTAATATTTTTTTTTATGTATGGAATAAATATTCAGTTGTTTAATTCTAAGCTTAGAATATCAATTTTTGACAATTTGCCTAAAAAGTTACATTTTGAGTAAAACTTGCGGTTTTGCGCAAATTGCGCCAAATAATTGCGGTTTTGCGCAAAAAATTGCGCTAAACTAAAATTTCGTTTCATGCGCAAATTGCGCAAAAAAATAGCGCAAATCTCATTGCGTTTCATGTGCAAAAATAGCACAAAAGTTCGCAAAAAAAAAATTTGCGCGAAAATAGCGCAAATTTTGCGCAAAAAATTAGCCATTTCGTGGAAACCCTAATTTTACTACACAAATTAGAGAGAACTGATTAAACCGCTTTGATGAAGTTTAAGTTTATGTAGAAGTGGTTGAACCGCGTAGACGCAGATCACCCACTTCATTTGTGCATCGGTTTAAGCTGAAGGGCGTGGTTAAACCGCTTAGATGAAGTTCAACCACTTCTCTTGTGCATCGGTTCAAGCTGAATGGAAGTGGTTGAATAACGTATATGCAGTTCAACCACTTCTTTTGTGCATTGGTTCACGCTGAAGAAACCTGGTTGAACTGCCTACTTGAAGTTGAACCATGGCTCATCTGTTCATTAAATCTTATTCCTGGAGTTTGGGTCTGGGTTCTCAGCCTTATACACACGCTCCACAGCCTGGATATAGCAGAAAAGAATTGTTTATAATTAGAAAGGTTAGAATTTTGTGTCACTCCAATCATCCTTTCATCTTAACCTTGGATATTGAAACGTTTGTATATGAATTGATGAAGCAGACCAATTTTGGGCGCTGTTTTGTTCTTTTGGTTAGGCAATTTTTGTGCGATGTTGGTGTTGCGTTCTAATTTTAATTTAGTATCTGGTTGGTTTTGTAGTTTCTTATCATTTCTTTTTAAAAAGACTGTAATTGTAATTTCAAGTGACCCTCCATGCAAAGATGCCAGTACCCGATTCACAACGGTACCCTTAAAATCTTGATCAAGGTTGTCAGACTTATTCTCATTAATATACGGATTTAATTGTTGAACAGTTTTTTTACAAACCGTTTTAAGTTTTAAAATTAGTTATATATACACCTTCAAAAATTGGCAAAAAATAAATAGTTTCTTTAAAATTTTAGGAAATCGTTTTAAATGTAAAATAATTGGTTGTGTAAAGTTACACAAGTAGCGCATCAGTTGTGTTGAGTTCACACTGTACGCAGCGTACAATGTGTTTCACAGGAATTCAAGCGGTTATCAAGATATTAAACCAAAGAGTTCTCTGTACTCAAAGGTATAAAGGATACCGTTGTAATTAAAGTAATCGTTTTGATCTGGTGAGTCACTTGAAATTAGTTCTTAATTTGATCTTCTCAAATTTTGAGGTTTTGTTGAAGGATACATGTTGAAATAAAACGTTATTATCAAAATCAAATAATTTTAAAACATATTTAACTAACAATGCAGTTCACTGTTCTGTTTAATAATGAGTGAATGTTAACATGTCGGCAATCTTAAACCCATACAGTGAATGTTGGGTATACACCGGATGGCCAGGTAGTTAAGATTGAAGTAGAACGACATTTCTTTTAATATTTTAACAATACTATCTTAACTGAATTTATTACTCGCCTCAAACTCTAACCTTCTAATCTATAAAATTTTGCAACCATGATGTAGATATTTTATCTTGATTTAGTGAAAGTTTCGAGTATCATTATCAATGGTTTATTCAATAAGGTAACTAAAGCATAAGGATTAGAAAGAAAGAGTTTGATGCAAGTAATCAGTTCCTTTTTAACCTGTATATCAGTAGTACTGCAGGTGTAGGTCTTGTTTCCACGTCGATTAATCTCGATGATTTTCACTGGAGCAATGTTAGCGATATTATCGAAATCTCCGAGAGACCATTGAGGGCTGTATATTGCATTTTGGTAATTTATTTCCTGCATAAACTCCTGGAAAACAAACTTTTAAAAATAAGCTTTAATTTTCAAAATCACATAAAAGTTTTTTTATGTAATTGATTTACAAGTATTTGGAGGAAAACATATGTTCTATTATTATTATTATTATTATTATTATTATTATTATTATTATTATTATTATNAAAAGGAGGAAACAGTATAAATCAAGAAAAAATAGGAAAGTCGCCAAAGTTCAGATTAATGAGTGAAACGAAAAATGCCACTTAAATTATAACTGTTATTTCGGTTCGCAGTGTTATAAAATTTTTGGACAGACATTTTCACTTTATTATTATTATTATTATTATTATTATTATTTTATATTGGTAGGTTTTTAAACATTAAAGATGAATAATATGAAGGATACTAACCCTGCAAGAGGTTTCAAAGTCTGTAGGAAGAGGTTTCTTGAGTGCGCATTCATGAACATTCCTACCCTCCAGGGACCAGGAGTTCTCACACACCTTGGCTCGACCAGGGAAGAATGTATTCGGAGCTGTGGAACAAACCTCGCCGGATTTTTGGTAGTCAAACCTTGCTCCCCATCCAGCGACTATTCCACACCCACCCTGTACAGAAGAAAGGAGGGTTGATAATTTATTTAATTTCAGAGATTTCATTTGGGAGAGACTCCTAGTGGCCGAGCAATCGTCGCGTCCTCAAGAATTCATTGTATATAAAAAATTTTTCAAAAAGATTATGATATTTTTAACTTGCAATATCAAAATAATTAGTTTTGAATTTAATTGAAATATCTACAGTTTGGGTAAAATTATGCAACTCCGTGGGCTTGTATGGATTCATGTGCTCTTCGGTATGAGTCGGGTTTAGCCATTTTCTCCTTACAGACGCGACAGATAGAAAAACAATTAGTAGCGATCGATATTAAATTCAATTCGATTTCATGGCCTACAACCCCTTTAACTTTTTGAGAACACTTTCTTTAATAGTGTTTCTTGGTGTATTTTGAATGAAAGGTCAAATCTTACCAACATTTTACCCTTAACCTGTCCCGCTTCTCTAGCTCTGGCAACCCTATCCTAAAAAAATACAAAATTAAATAAATATTATTCTAAAATAAATTTGTTGTCGCTAAGGAACAAGATTCTGACGATGAACAGATAGACANAAAATAAATTACTTTAAAAAGAATCTATTTCTTTTTTTTGAGAACAAAAAGTTTGGTTTAAAATACAAAAGAATAGTTAAAAAATGTCCTCTTTGCGGCTCATTTATCATTGATATTCTTTTTAAGAAGCTGTAGATTTAGATACATACAGACCATGTCCGTAATTAAGTGATCTAATTAACAATAAATTTCATTTAAAAATACAGACTGAACCACTGCCAAACCTGGGATCATCTGAGGTAAAAAAGGGGTATCCGTATTAGAATGGAATCGGAACACCGAAAAACCTTTGATTTTATGACTCACATGACTTATTTTCATTGATTTAATATTTGACCGTTTTTGGAGGGAGGTCAAAATGGAGGTCGGATATATGCGTCTATATCAGCGCATGACTTATGTAGTAGCAAAAATTATGAAAATATGTCTGATTAACTTAATATAATTGAACTAGATTGGAAAAAGTGGTATTTTCCCGTATTTCATAGAGTTCAAAATAGGGGTCAATGACCTCCGATCTCAAGTTTTCTTCGTGATCTTTGTAGATGACCACAATAAGAGACTGCATGCAAAATTTCAGTCTTCTATCTCATGATTATTAGGACCAAACGCTGCCTGTACAAAATTTGATGTCACAAAGTGGCAAATGGCCCCGCCGCCCTTTTTTGCTCTAACATTATTCATAGTTTGAAATATCCAATGTCTATTAGAGTTTGTGGCAAAGACACAATTCTATAGTTATGATTAATATTAAACTAAAATCAATATTACATGCATATCCATAGAGTAATATTACTCTATGTGCATATCTCAATCACTTTACAAAAATGGTATGAAGTATATTCTGTAATGATGTGCAATTCTATCTTTGTTATTCATGCTAGTAATATCGTTATCTTAATTATTTGTATATTGACCCAGCCGGGCTAGCCCGGTCAGTTTCATTTTTACCTCTTTATAAATAAAGTAGTTCAATAGAATTCTTTGATTAATACGGACGTATACAGAGCCTTGAGTATTGGCTGAGATGTAGAGAGCCTTGAGTTTTGGCAAGAGATAGAGTTAGATATGTTCTCATTAGACTTTGAGTAGAGTTATCATTGAAGTTATAGCATCTAGATTTACTACAGGTAGAGCACATTTCAACAACTGAACACTTGTATTACGCTCAGATTTTGTAAACCCTATATTTTTAAAATCTAAGGTTGTACTTTAATATTTCAAACTTGACTAGAGATCAAACATTTTTCATAGTTTAAAATATCAGAGATTTACAAATCTACGACCAAAAATTACAAAAATTATAAGTCCATTAGAAAATATGACTTTATGGCACTTATTCAATTCCCTTTTTCACGTAATGGATTTGCCACCAGTTTTCAAGATGTTGGGTACCAAAGGCATTTTCCCAAGCGGCAACTTCCCAAGTCTGTCCTAGCCACAGCGCTCGGCCCCCCCCATTGTAGCCTGCGGCGACTCAGAAGGGAAGTTCTGGAAGAACGGGAAAATGCCTCTGGAAAAAAACCTAACATTTGGGAAGGTGTCACTTGCAAAATTGGACATTTGGGAAGGTATCACTTGGGAAATTGGACATTTGGGAAGGTGTCACTTGGGAAATTGGACATTTGGGAAGGTGCCACTTGGTCGCCTTTGGGAAAAAACTTTTTTTCTTCTAAAGGAATGCCGCTTAGAGACTAACGCGACGGTTTAAAGGTTTGATCAAATCCCATAATTTTATTGGACAAAAGCAAAACTACTACCAATGAAACATCCGGACAGGGAGGATAGTCGATGAAATCCGGAACTGCCAGGCAGACTGGTCGGACACTGTCAGTAAACGATGCCACTGCCTTTTCTAACCTTTGTAGAAACCATTTTAAAATTTGAAAGGAAACATTGGAAATGATAAACTTGAAAAATGTCATAAAATCTTTTTGATAATTACGTTTTTCCCAGGACTGTCACTGTAATTGGATGTAAGCCTCATTTAAGAAAAGGGGCATTTATGATTCACACCTATTTTATCAATATTGTGGAAGTCTAGCAGGACAACATTCTGTTTTTTATTTATAAAGAAAGTGTTATTCCTATTTTCAACCATTTATAGAATGGTTTAGTTCCCTAATGAGTATTATATCCGGAGAAACCTCGAACCTATCTGATGTACTCAGATCAGGATGTATCCAGAGCATATCCGGTCTGTAAACCAAACCAGCTTCTACAGCTGAATACAGTCAGAGGGTAGAAAAATATTAGAATCTGGGATTTTAATGTTCTTACCATCCGCCATCATTGATACTGTTAATTCTTCTGAAGTCCAGGGTAATCCCTGTTTAATTAGATTTAGAGAAATATAATCATTAATTATTCATTGATCAATATTTAATCAATCTTTAATCAATATTCAATGAATTAATGAATCCTACTGTTTTCTTGTTTGGTGCTGTCGCTCCGATATATATTTTAGTGTTCTCTTGTGCATACTTCATATCCTAGAATAGATAAGGTGGTCACCAGAATAAAATTGAGTAGGAAAACTACTTTTTTCTTTTGCCCATCCAGAAATGATGGTTTTTAATGGTAACATTTTTTTTATTCTGCAGTTTATAAAGGAAATTAAGTGTTTTTAGGATTCATGGGGGGGGGGCACTGCCCTGCTTTACCCCCTCTGTTGTATACATTTCTGAATAGTAGTGAATATTGGGGCACAATTAAACTCGTGTTTAAGAAATTAGATGATGAAATGTTTAAACTTAATTAATTACCTTAATCATAATTGGAACAGCTTCTTCTATTTCTCCCATATACCTAGAATAATGCGAATATAGATATATAGACAAATATATTAAATATTCGCGAAAATGAACGAAAATTTTCGCGAAAGAGATTGAACGAGAATTTGGAAACCCTACTAGTTATCTACAAAATTTAATCGTTAAAAGTTTTATTTTCTATTTATTATTTATTTATTTTCACTTTACACCATTAAAATATTTTTAAATATTTAGTTTTAAAATTAATATTCAAAAATATTATCCAAGTAAATTGTTCTACCTTGAACAATAAAAATTTGCTGGTTTACTTGTACATGCACAGTGGGCTGCAGTTAGGACAAATCTGTAATATGTATCAATTTATTTAAAATGCACAGTGGGCTGCACTTAGGACAATTTTCTAATATTTTATGAATTAACATGTTATGCACTTGTTGAACATGCATTCGACCGGCACAGTGGGCTGCAGTTTGGACGAACAATAATGTATACATGCATTGACTTTTTCACACATGCAGTGCACAGTGGTCTTGTGTGAATTGTTAAAAACCTTGAATTTATGAGTGATCCTCCGCAACCCATATTCATAAATGTTATTAATACCATCCAGGGTAAAGGTGATTTTACAATATTTCCTCCAACAATCCTTGTTCCGGATTTCTAGAATATTAACAGTAACAGATACTAAAATATTTACTTAAAGGGACTGTAAACAAAAAATTAAAGGGGTATAGGCTGAAACCTGAGAATCTCAGGAGTTGAATGATACCTGACATCTATCTGATATGTTCCTGTCTCGAGAAAACTGTGTCAAATTTATACCGAAATGTATAATATTTGTGAGATACACGTCTGTATCACATGACCAGAACTCCCTCCAATGGTAGTGCAGTATACTAGTCACGTGAATCAGACGGAGACACGTGACTATAATACTACACTGCCATTGGTTGGAGTTCTGGTCACATGTTCCGGACGCATAATAATATTATCAATTATATCTATTAAAAATGAAAATTCATTTAATTCAAATAATTATAGGAGCAAACTTGAATTTCTCAGGCTCCTCTGGGAAATCATTATTTTCAGATTGGATGCATATTTGTTGAATATGATCTGTTTAATATTACGAAACTTATACAAAATCTTACATATATAGGTTTTGGTATAATTTTCAGACAGTTTTATATAAATTTCTCGAGACAGGAACATCAGATAGAACTCTTATATGTCTCAATAAACTCCAGAGATTCTCAGGTTTCGGCCTATACCCCCTTTCATTTTTCCTTTACAATCCCGTCATCTCATTTTTATTATTTTCAACCTTTTATTAATGGGTTTTGCATATTATGTATTTGGCGATATTTTCATGAGATTGGGATGAAGAATCAAAATTTGACAGATTTTTTTCTGATATAAAATTTTTTTTAACTTTAATAATAGTTTATTTTTGGATAAAGATTGTGGGCACAAGCTCACGCATACAAATAAAAACGAAATATCAATAAATCTATTTCCAGTTTGTTATCAAAGTCTTTCTATTATTTTGTTCTGCTCAAGATTAGTTAAAAGTCATACACCCCAACGTTTTGTGTTGCGCCATTGTCTTAANCCCCCATTTACCTGAATTTTAATTATCTTGCTGAGGAGTAAAAAGGTTTATAAATAAAAACGAATGCGGAAATCTATAATTCTTTAGCTTCAGTTTTAAATAAATAAATAAAATTTGTATGTTTAGTATGTGTTTTCAAGCTTGGATGAAATGCCATGACCGGTATTCTGAACAACTGGTTTATAATATATCTATGTTGGTTTCTTTGACAAAAAAGAATATGTATTTTTTTTCTTTGAAATAATTACCTCTGCAATTGAAATCATCATTACTATGAACTACAGAAAAAAATATTAAACACTGAATCAAAAAAAAAAAATTCATCTTTTCTCACAATTAAACTGGAACTGTTAAGAGATTTAAACTTAATCAGATTCTTTAATTGCCAAATGTAATAAAATCCTGTTATGTTTAAATAATAATCCTTATCAAATATCTACAAAAAAAAATTAAAAATAAATAAGTATTTGAAACAATTAGTTAATATTTAAATAAAGAAGACCAGGAAAATATTGTATATTTTTTCAAGTACCTACATTTACAGCGACATATACAGGGAAGGGAGGCGTTAACGGAGATTTTTTTGTCTATAGACCATTGATTATCCTTAATTGTGGCTAAAAATCAATCTAAAAACTTTAGATAAATTCAGGGATGTATATTATCTAAATAAATATTTCGGTGAAATAAAAAAACGCCAAAAAATCAATTAAAATTCTTTGAAAAAAGTGAAATTATTTTTAATTAAAGACTGTTATCTAACATTTTTCCAATTCTTTTTGAATTTTCCATGTCGAATAAATATTGCTGCTGCTGATTGGTCAAAAGTAAGGCTTAGCATGGGCACTGAGCAGCCTATATTGTATCAACTAAAAAAACGTTACGCATAAACTAGTTCTCCAGCAGTCCAAAAACGTCACAGCAAAGTGTACGGAAACCCTATTGCCCCCTCCTTGTATTCAATTCTCCTGCCTGTACTTAAGTTTAGTAATGAAAGTCGTGCCGGTACAAAGTTTTTTTGTCAATTGTCATGACGGTACAGAATAAATCTCAGAAGTTGTGTACAGTACGAGGCCCCGAAGGCTTAGTGGAGGGTGTTATGTCAGTTTTAGCTGGCCAAACGGTTGAACCAAATTAGGTAAAAAATAAACTTATTTGTACCCTGGGCGGGAAACATAGGCTTTAAAAAATTCGAACTTGAAAATTCGAATTTTCCCCAGTGTTTTAAAAATTCTACGAGCACGGAGCAACGCCGGAAACTTCATTGTAATATTGTAATTCATTGTAATATTGCAATCTGGATAAAATAGTTGTAATAGTTGTAGTAAGAGGAAGTATTTAATTAAAGGGAGTGTTCGCAAATGAATTTGGAATCATGCAGGTAATAATTTTTTTTCATCTGATGTTTGTACAATGAGAAATAAAATAATTCTATCAGGAGAAATATAACGGCCCATGTATACACTACTCAAATATCAGGTTTTTAGAATTTATCAAATTGTACAAAAAATCTTATCATTTTATGTTTTTACTAAATCAAATATTGGTTAATTTACATTGAGAACTAAATCTAATGTGTACATCCAAGAATAATAAATGCAAAAGCAAAAATTGGCTTGGTTTGTAGGTTATATAGCTTTCATTACATAGAGAAATATGTTTAAAAAGCACATTTCAGCTTCTCTCGTGGACAGCTTTAGTGCTAGCACTTTTAAACTTTTGTAAATTATCTTGAAGTCGTGATAAACAAATTTACCATTTCTATCAGCATATGTATCTTATTGGGATTTTGAATAAAAGGCAAAGATAAAATATTTGCTCTATGCGCACTGAGATACATAACCTACAAACCAAGCCATTTTTTGCTTTTGCACTTATTTCTTGGATATGTACACTTTAGATTTAGTTCTAGATGTGAATTAGCTTGCAATTGGTCAAGTTTTAATACAATAATCGGATTTTTGGTACAATTTGATAATATTTGAGTGGTGTGTGTTGTACAAGCTGTACATTTCATAGAAGAAATTGAACAAAATATTTCGGCCCCCTTTCTGTATTAGTAGAACCCTGGAGAAGGATGAATACACAGGAAACTTGATTGCAAACATAAACATGTACTGTACACACTGTACACTGTACTGCAATTTTCCCTGAGCCAGATTTAGGTCTCAGTAGACAAAAGTCTGCTTGGTAAATCAGAGTTAATATTCAGGTATATAATATACTAATCAAAGCCCATTTCACATAAATTGATATTATAAGATTACATTTTCTATTCTTGATGTTTTCTATAGTTTCAGGGTTTACTTTAAAGTACATGGCCAATCGTTGTTAATATTATTCTATTTTTTAGAATCTCCGATAGAGGCTGAGTGGATGTTTCCTCTCTCCCCCTCCCCCCTTCATACTTCATCTCTCTGCGTCCTGAGAGTTGATGTTAAAAGCAATGACGACCTCGCCAACCCTCTTGGAAAGGTTAAAGTCGGTTTTGTGTTACTTTACACTGAAATAAATTATTGTACAAATTTATTGCACAGCTGTATTTTCTCTACAAGTGAATGCACTCAATTATTCTGATTTATTAAAGAGGTTTTTACATGTAGAAAAGGTTACCCTCTCAAAACAAAATCTAGTCTATACGACAATTCTGAATATTAATTAATTCTGAAAAAATTTAATTTCGGAATATTAATTATTTCCCTTTCCAGGAATCCTGCTGTGCAATGAATCCGTAACAAATCAAGGCTTTGTAACCATCTAGAATAGACAAGGATTACAAACGCCCAAAAGTACTCAATTTGCATAACTCTAAGCACATATATACGCACATCTAGCCATAGAGTACGAACATAGAGTATAAAGGAGCATGAATTATATTCTATCCAAGTAGAAAAACTACAATTAGTGCCATCACATTTAGCACCGAGCATATCATATATGTACATTGATTAACGATCAGACTGAGTACGTCTAATTTCAGTTATGGCTAAAAGATGTACAAACCTTTGTTAATAGTGGAACTCATTTCCACTTGTTGTCTATTAATGTAACTATTATTAGCTAAGCCTGGTTCTAGAGAGCTAAATACCACTCTTTACAAATCTTGCTTGGTAGTATTAAGGGTAGATCATCTACCTTACGAGTTCTTTAGTAGTGTAAATACTGGTATTATGCTTAATACCGGTATTATAAAGAGTGGTGTTACCTAAATCCAGCCGCAGGGTGGATTTAGGGTGGATCATCTACCTTTGTGAACCATATCCCTCAAATTTCCCCTGTTGTAAAGGTCATCTCCAACAAACTGTACCTCCGTTGAATATACTCCGTCCACTCACCAAACCAAACCTTGCCAAGGATTTTGCATAAACGTAAACAACAGCCGCATGGAGCTAATAAAACTTTAAGTGCATTAAAAGAAACATTTATTGATAATAAAAAAACCTTCAACTGTTTAATCTTTATTAACAATTATTATTTATATGCATGTACGCCAATAACAATTTGTATTTTGTAGGAAACCTCGTTACTGAAATATACTTTTTTTCAAGAAGTTATCATCTATCTGTGTCTGGTAGAAAAGAGTGTTTCCCTTGCCAACTTGCCTTTCCCTCTTTCGAGTATTATTCCTTTTGTTCAGCTCACAACCTTATATACTGGTATTAGTTTGGTTTGGTTAGATTTTGTGAAAAAAGAAAGCTAAAATGTGCATTTGTCGCGTTCATGGAAAAAGTAAATAATAATTAAACAAATATTTGTGCTGTAATCACAGTCTAATTTGTTATTATTATTACTAAAATATTCAAACAATATATTGTGTATAAATTAATTTTTAAATTTCAGATAAATGTCTCGTAATATATATTTTGAAGATTCAGTGAGTCATAGGACTTGTTTCAAAACTGCCTGTGATTGATGCTACTGTTGAAGGTTATTATTAATAATCAATTATGAAGCTTGATTCAACATTTCATTCAATTCAATTGTAGTTAAATTTCAGGTTTCTCACAGTATTGAAGTGAGCAGCTTGGAACGACAGCTTTGCAGCTTGACAGCAAAATTTGAACCAAAACGCAAGAGATTATTTTTGCGCTTTTTCTGCGCCAAAAAAGTAAAAAGTAGAGCACCTTTCCAACACTTTTTATGGAGCGCTGTTGATAAATCCATAGGAGCCAATTTTATAACTAGGTATTTATAGACATTCCTTTCAAAATTTATGGTAATTAACATTTATAAACATTAAATAAATGTAGTTATTTGATGTACTTACCAAGTTTAAACTTGAACATTTGTGATCTATTGGATATTTCTATCTTTAAATTATAACTTTGAGCATGGGACTATTACACATGTTATAGTATTGTTAACGAAATACGCATGATAAAACACAAATATCTAATTCTAGGAAATGTAATTTTGTTTAAAAAAGGGGGGTGAGGAATATGGGGGGAAATGGAGGTGTCTAATATCGGGTTTCAACATATTTAAAAAAATTCCTTTTTAAAATTTTGATAGCATCAAAATCAAAGCATTCGATGGGGTCTGCGTAAAATGTATGATATCTGGTCCAGTCAGGTAGCGAATCTGCGGCAGATCGTAGAGAAAATCGACAATGGGAAGCTGAAGAAGCTTCTGGCCCAGCCCACAGCCGTGCAGGTAATATTGACTGGACTCGTTATGAACATAACTATTATAAAGAACGGTTTTTGTAACCCCTCCCCCCCTTCTATTAAATTTGTACATGACCATTATTTTTCAGCAAATTAGTACAAATTGCGGCCACATGACCCTCTTCATCCATATGTTAAATATATGAGATGCATTTACAAAATTGATATGAGGGGGGAGGGGCCGCCGGTCAGGGTCCAAAAATCATTCTATAGGAAATTACTTTTACTTCTTCACTTACTTATTCACGAAAGAAAAAACAAAAATACATTTAAATGAATAATTCTTTAAAACATACGAATATATATATTGAAAAACTCTAGTTAGAATTTATGTATATATCAGAAATTGCTTATCGCAATTTACTCTTTATGTATATGGTTTATGAGATCAATAACAAAAACAGCCTTGTTCTGACAAGTATTATATTTTCATTCAGTACTGCTGCAATCAAAAAAGACAACTGGACTCACAAAGAACAACAAAACTGGGAACTAGTAAAATTACAAAAAAGAAACCAACAAACGAAAAAAAGAAAATACTGGAGAACAAACAATAGGAAATTACCGGGGGGTATTAACACTTTTAATCCTCATCTTTAGTAGTTTACATATAAATAATTTATTTTTTAAAATTTTAATAGAGATGGGCAGTATCCAGATTCAGTTTACTGGAACTTTTTATGTTTTTAGACTTTTAAAGGGTATTACGACAATATGAGAAGGTTCCAACATTTTAAAACTTTATTTTGTAGAAGATTAACAAACATGCAAATTTTGAAGGAAATATTAGGCAAAAATGATAGTTTCTGGGTTTTTAAAACGATCGTTTTTAGTTCGTTTGTTTTCACCTAGCATAACAAATTTGCATGTTTGATAATAGTAGACTTCTTAAGAAGACAATTTCAAATCATTGAACCCGTAACCCGTAAATCTTTAAAAGTCCAAAAGTATTAAAAGTTTTTGTAAAACGAATCTAGATATATGTAAGCCTACAGGAATTTACACAAAGAATGGGAATTCAGAACAGATTTTAACTGTACAATAAAATATTTACATAATTTTATGACTAAATTCAACTTACTTGGATTAGAAAAAAATGTTTTTGACAAATCAGTCATCTCCTGAATGCATATTGACAATGGGTATATGTGGAGTTTTGCTCCGTCTCCTGTATAAAATTGTGAGTTTAAAACTTAGCAATTTTACCATGGAAGCCTCAAACAATCGAATGATCCCCCATTATATCTGAAATAAAAGTTTAAGTTAAGTTACGAACGGATCAAATGGAAGTGAAGGCTTAAAGGCCTTACAGGGCCCGATGAAAACTTGGTGCCACGCTCTGCTCGTCCACCGCTCCTTCACGAGCTATCGATTCATTTTGCGCTCACTCGTACCAGGCTCGTACCATGCTAAAAGTTTTAAAGTTCAAAAGGGAATATGCCTGACAATTTTAGATGAAGCTTATGTATCAAAAATTGCTGTACTAAGAGAAACGAATTTGCAGGATTGTAATCCGGCGCAGATCGGTTTTTTTTTATTTTTTTTTATTTTATTTATTTTTGATGCCCATGTCTATATGATGAATTTCAATTTTCTCTTTCTTCTACTGTAATCGCCATTTAATCTGTTTCATTATTTGAAATAATTGGATGATAGGTCGTCTTTGATCTAGTTGTGTTGACTATCCCTATACAGGTAGTAGAGACAGTAGACCGGTCCAATAGTGGCGCATCTGGTGTTAAGTAATCACAGCATCTATTGTTCTGTACTGATGAAGGTGAGGTCTTAATACCGTCCAGTTGAATATGTAAGTAGTGGCATCTTGCTCTCGAGAACTAGCCTATATGCAGCATAACAGGTAGCTGTAGAGTGTAGAGTATACAACTGTGTGGACACCATTTTGTTGTGAACCGAATACCGATCAAATTTCATTTTCTTTCGTAAATTCTCTGTTCCCAGGTATATTTCCCTTTAGTGAGTGCGTTTATGATGTTTTTTTCACTATTGTTTTTGAGATATTTGTGTTTTTAACTATTAACTTTTCCTGAAACTAAAATACTACAATAATAATTTCGATGATATTCTTTAAAAATGTAAAGTAAAATAAAATAAATTTTTAGAAAGGAAAAATAATTTTGAATAAAACATGACGATTAAAATTGTTTAAATTAGAATAAAATTTTTTTTATCGAAGATAAACTAGGCTTTTATATTTTTTTATACTTAAAATTTTCTTTTAGATTTTCGTTTGAAAACAAACTATTATATTAAAAAAATCATCTTTTTTACAATTACTATATGATATATGACAACATATACAAAACATATGAATAATAATGTTTACAAGACACAATTACAATGTTACANTTTCTTTTAGATTTACGTTTGAAATCAAACTATTATATAAAAAGAAAAAAATCATCTTTTTTACAATTACTATATGATATATGACAACATATACAAAACATATGAATAATAATGTTTACAAGACACAATTACAATGTTACAATTCCAATTACTTATGAATCCTTATTACTAGTACATATTATATAGTCTTTCAAAAATGTTTTTTTTGTTTTTTGCTCGGTTTTTAGTATTTTTTATTGTTTCTCTTGTATTTTTCACTTTTTTAAAAAAATAATTCACTTAGTAACACTTAAATCAAGTTTTCATACTGTTGTCAATCTTGATTAATTGTTATTCCTTGCAAGAATGAATGTCATTTTAATATCCTGAGAGGTCATCCTGTCAAGAGTATTTGTGTATGAGATTTGATGAATGATTTGTAATCAGGATGAGTGAATTGATGACTAAAAAATTGACTTTGTGATTGATAGAATGGTTGGTATTCATTGAGTGATTGTTTGAATGCTCGATTTTGTAGTGGATTGAAGATTTGATCGATTAATGACTTATTGATTTGTGGGTTGAATGATTGATTTGTAGGTCGAATGTTTGATTTGCTAATTGTTTGATTTATTCACTAATGCAGTGATTGATTAATAGATTGGTTCACTTATTGATTAATTGATTCACTAATTGAGTAGATGGTTTACTAATTGATGGTTGATTCATTAATTAAATTGTTGGGTCACTTATTGAATGATTGGTTCACTAATGGGTTAGTTGGTTTATTAATTTAATGGTTGTTTCACTGATTGATTGTCTGATTTACTAACCGAATTGTTGGTTCGCTGATTGAATAATTTATTTACTAATTGAATGATTGCTTCACTAATTGAGTGATTGATTCACTAATTGAATGATTGATTCACTAATTAAATGATTGATTCACTAATTGAATAATTGATTCACTAATTGAATGATTGATTCACTAATTGAATGATTCACTAATAGAATGATTGATTCACTAATAGAATGATTGATTTATCAACTAAATGGTTGATTTATTAATCGAGTAATCGATTCATTAATCAATTTGATTGATAATTTTTCTGATCGAGTTTAATTAGTTCAACTTTGATAAATTAAAACTTAATTAATTAAATCTTTAATTTCAGATACATCATTCTGGTTTCTGTGATAACCGTTCAGGAGCAGTAAGGTATCATAATTTTTCTTGTTTTTGCCATATTTAAATACGTACTCTTTCGAGGGTTGATAGTTTACTCAAATATAAGATAAACTGTCTTTATTTCAAAAGAATTTGCAACAATTACTGCTTTACCCAATCAGAGGGTTCGTTTGATTGAGAAGTTATAGTTTATTCTAAACTATCTTTATTTACAAAAGACTTTTAACCATACAGATCTGTATTTACCATTGCCAGAATCAATTTTCCTCAGATTTAAGAATGAAAATTATGAAATTTTCAGAAATATATAAAAAAAGTCAGATCTCATATCAATATGTTCATATGTATAGTAATGATGATCAAAGTCATTTTAAATGTTAAAATTTAACTGAATTTTTATTTAGGTTGACCTATTCCAGTTCCGATTCCAGTTCAGATTCCAGTTCCGATTCCAGTTCAGATTCCAGTTCCGATTCCAGCGATCCGAGACATTATCTAATTCCCGCTTGCGAGTAGCAACTTACACATCAGGTGGATAATGTTTATTATTATACGTGTCCATGAATGCATTTTCCGAGTCAAGCATAGTTTCGATTTCCGTTATGTAGCATTCCGGATGTACTGCAGTAATTGTACTATTGTTTTTATTTGAATTACATACATACATCTCTCTATTAAAGTTAATATTATCTGGTTTAATAAGTTTTTTTTAATATTATTCTTATACATTCTTCTGCATCATCTTGGGAAATAAAATCATTAATGAATATTTTCCGAATTAAATTTTTATTAGATATGCATTTTTGTCCTGTTTTTAAGGAAATAATCTCAATAGTTTTTGCATGTCTATTTTTCCTCAATACCTGAAATAATTCCAGCTTTAACAATGTGGTTCGCTCTTTAGATGTATCAATTCCAGGGTTCTCTATAAATACAATATCGCCTGTATGAATAGTTTTCAATTTTTTAGTTTTTTTAGATTTTTTTCTTGATNTAAATAAAGATAGTTTAGAATAAACTATAACTTCTCAGTCGAACGAACCCTCTGATTGGGTAAAGCAGTAATTGAGAATATATACAGATTGGTACATAATGGTTGCAAATTCTTTTGAAATAAAGACAGTTTATCTTATATTTGAGTAAACTATCAACCCTCGTAAGAATACGTATCCAAATATGGCAAAAACGAGAAAAATTATGATACCTTACTGCTCCTGAACGGTTATCACAGAAAACAGAATGATGTATCTGAAATTAAAGATTTAATTAATTAAGTTTTAATTCATCAAAGTTAAACTAATTAATCTCGATCAGAAAATTATCAATCAAATTGATTAATGAATCGATTACTCGATTAATAAATCAACCATTTAGTTGATAAATCAATCATTATATTAGTGAATCAATCATTCTATTAGTGAATCATTCAATTAGTGAATCAATCATTCAATTAGTGAATCAATTATTCAATTAGTGAATCAATCATGTAATTAGTGAATCAATCATTTAATTAGTGAATCAATGATTCAATTAGTGAATCAATCATTCAATTAGTGAATCAATCATTCAACACACAAATCAATAAGTCATGAATCGATCAAATCTTCAATTCACTACAAAATCGAGCATTCAAACAATCACTCAATGAATACCAACCATTCTATCAATCACAAAGTCAATTTTTTAGTCATCAATTCAATCGAACATTCAATCATCCTGATTACAAATCATTCATCAAATCTCATACACAAATACTCTGACAGGATGACCTCTCAGGATATTAAAATGACATTCAATCTTGTAAAATACAATTAATCAAGATTGACAACAGTATGAAAACTTGATTTAAGTGTTGCAAAGTGAATTATTTTTTAAAAAAAGTGAAAAATACAAGAAAACAATAAAAAAAACTAGAAACCGAGATAAAAACAAAAAAAATATTTTTGAAAGACTATATAATATGTACTAGTAATAAGTCACTTCCCTACCATCCTTTAAACTTTAAACTTTAAATTTATTTCAGAGCAAAATGCTGAATGAGGGCTGTTCGACTGGAGAGCTTTCATACGGAATTGTATAGATTCTAAAAGGTTGAATTTATATAATTCTCAGATAACCTGAGCCCGTGATTTAAAAAATTCAAGGAAATACAGCTCGGGTCTAAGCTGTCGTTGGACCTTTTTTATGGCTTGAGCTTTTTGATTCAAGCTGCATCTTATTTTCCACCAAGTTGAATTTAAAAAAAACGGTTTAATATTCTATTTAGCGGATTTTCATGGTAGGCATTGGCGTATTCCCAGTTTTTTAGAGAATAAGACGCAACATTGAGCCTTATTCTACATTAAAACCAACCACGGTTGGTTTTATTTTCATTGGACCTAACTCCTTAAGTCGAGCCAAAGATCCTGCAGCTGTCAATCACGTGACACAAGCTGTCGTTAGAGTTGGGTGGAAGATTGGGTCTTAAAGTCGGGTTTAAGGAATTATGACTCAAGCCAAAGCTTTAAAATCGCTGGCTCAGGTCCCGGAATCCCTGTAAACCACACAAGTACAGGATACTGGATATCTTTTACAAAAATCCATTCAAATGAACAATGTCAACAGATGTGAAATTCGGAAGAAGACTACTTCCTTGATGTCAGGAGAAAGTATAAGATTGTTCAAGAAACCTTAAAATATCCAGCAGGAAATTAGGATGGATACAAGACAAGAACAGATGTATACAAGAGTCAAAACAAGAGCAAAAGCAAAGAATGGATATATAAGGAATTGTTAGCCCAATTATCTTTAAAACCTGAACATACATGTATATATATATTTTGTTATATTCACCTGACTGTTTTATCAGTCAGTTTAATCTTTTTAATCTTTACCTGTATCATTAAACCCAAAATATAGTTAGTTGATATGAACTCTGTTTATTTACAAACATAAGTAACAGTTCTTAGTAGAGAGTATAGAGTTTGATAGAGTTGTGTTCATATTGATACACATTTAAAGAAATATTAAAGTAAGGCATTTATTACAACCAGACTCTCATAAATTATCAGCAGACTCTTATAGATTATTAGCAGACTCTCATAGATTATTAGAAGACTCACATAAATTATCAGCAGACTCTTATAGATTATTAGCAGACTCTCATAGATTATTAGCAGACTCTCATAGATTATCTGCAGACTCTTATAGATTATCAGCAGACTCTTATAGATTATTAGCAGACTCTAATAGATTATTAGCAAACTCTCATGGATTATCAACAGACTCTCATAGATTATTAGCAGACTCTCATAGATTATGAGCAGACTCTTATAGATTATTAGCAGACTCTCATAGATTATTAGCAGACTCTCATAGATTATCAACAGACTCTCATAGATTATTAGCAGACTCTCATAGATTATTAGCAGACTCTCATAGAATTTTAGTTGAATTATTATTGAATTTAAAAATGCATTTGTGACATTTAAAATTTCATTCTAATTTCATATTTTTGGAAACTCATTTTCCTCTGAAATATGAGGTTACATTGTTACATATCTTATAGAAAGTTAATTTATCGCTTTAAAATTGCAAACTATAATTAATTACACATCTTCATCTGTTTCTTGAAAATTAGCACAGGTGCTGCCAGAGTTCTATATAAGATAATGACGGGGCTTGTAGTTTAGATCTAGCCTGGTCTCATATAGAGCATAGACCAGCTCTTTACTATTCAAAGGTAATCCAGTTTTAAATATATTAGACAGTCCTTAAAACTTAAACTTTTTCGCATCTTGTTCATTTTTTGCTTGTCTTGAAAACAATACAAGAATAAAAAATTCAAGTGAATTAAATTTTCTTAGTTTTGAGTTTTTGTTTTGTTTTGGGACTTCAATTTTATGCTTAGTTCCATTTTTTACTTTTCTTCATAATCAAAATAGGAATAACAACTTAACAATTTCAGTTTCTTACTCATTTTTCTATTATCTAATCCATTAAATTTAATCTCTTCTGCTTTTTCTGTTCCTACTTTAATGTTTTGAAAAGCGAATTGAAAGTGTTAATATAATCGTATATGGCAAAAATATTTAGAAACAACGTTTCAGTAAATCTAAGTAGCTAGACCATTTTCTAGATTTTAAACCTTCAAAACTTAAGCTTTTCTGCATTTGCCTTTTTTATCTTAAAGTTTCCGCAATTTCAAATGTTTTTAGTGTAATTTTATAAAAAAAACAATAGAAGTAAAGTTTTTATATCATAAAGATCTTCGCTCATAAATCTATATATATATATATAACTGAGAAGCTGTTCTGATTATTTCTTTATAGTTATATATATATATATATATATATATATATATATCACCAATAGCTGGCCAAACGGCTGGACTGAATCGGCTTAATTTTAAAGAGAAAGTGGCTAAAAAGAAAAAGTGGCTAAAAAATCGAAATTTTTGTTTCAAGATGGAAATTTTTAAAAACATTCAAAAACAATTTTGTTTAAAAGTTCCACGGGCAACGCTGGGCACTTCTGCTGGTAAAAAAATGTTAAATACCTATTTGAATTTGTCCTAGTGAATTAAAATTTAAAAGCCGTTTTCTATTATGAAATCAAATTAAAAGTTTTATCTTTATGCTTTTGCAAAGGCAAATTTCATATCTTTATTGTCTTAAAACAATTCATAAAGTTTTTCCTTGAATTATAGCTTCTTAGCCATTTTTTATCTTACTTACTGGTTAAAACTTTTGATTTTCTTTCTTCATTTGCTTTTATATTCATGTTTCTGCGTAGGTCTATTCTTTAAATTCATGTTTCTGAATAGGTCTATTCTTTAAATTCATGTTTCTGCATAGGTCTGAATATTCGTGTTTCTGAATAAGTCTATTCTTTAAATACATGTTTTTTGACTAGGTCTATTCTTTAAATTCATGCATAGGTCTATTATTTAAATTCATGTTTCTGCATAGGCCTTTTCTTTAATTCATGTTTCTGCATAGGCCTTTTCTTTAAATTCATGTTTCAGCATAGGTCTATTCTTTATATTCATGTTTCTGCATAGGCCTATCTTTTATATTCATGTTTCTGCATAGGGCTATTCTTTAAATTCATGTTTCTGCATAGATCTATTCTTTAAATTCATGTTTCTGCATAGGCCTTTTCTTTAAATTCATGTTTCTGCATAGTTTAAATTCATGTTTCTGAATAGGTCTATTCTTTAAATTCATGTTTCTGACTAAGTTTCTTCTTTAAATGCAGGTTTCTGCATAGGTTAATTCTTTAAATGCATGTTTCTGCATAGGTCTATTCTTTAAATTCATGTTTCTGCATAGGTCTATTCTTTAAATTCATGTTTCTGAATAGATCTATTCTTTAAATTCATGTTTCTGACTTGGTCCATTCTTTAAATTCATGTTTCTGCATAGGCCTTTTCTTTAAATTCATGTTTCTGCATAGGCCTATTCTTTAAATTCATGTTTTTGAATAGGTTTATTCTTTAAATTCATGTTTCTGACTAGGTTCATTCTTTAAATTTATGTTTCTGCATAGGGCTATTTTTTATATTCATGTTTCTGCATAGGCTTATTCTTTAAATTCATGTTTCTGCATAGGCCTTTTCTTTAAATTCATGTTTTTGAATAAGTCTATTCTTTAAATTCATGTTTCAGCATAGGTCTATTCTTTAAATTCATGTTTCTGCATAGGCCTATTCTTTAAATTCATATTTCTGACTAGGTTTGATTGGCTATTCACGAACTTCGAAATAGGGGTTGGCACGTTCACACTTTTTTCAAAGATCATCTTTTTAAAGTACATTTATAAAGAACTAAATCTGTATTTCGTTCTTTTTTTCTAGTTACCGTTTCTTGCAATTTTAAGCAAAACAATAACAGACGTCGCCGTTATTTACAAATCAATTTCATACTGAAGTTTCACTTTTTTGTCAGGAACAGTTATCTTTGTTTGTTAACAATTTCAATATTAACTGTTCTGCCATTTGCTAACAGAATTTTCAAAACCAGAAGTTGCCTAACCCTACCCCCCCCCCCCCCAATCTTTATAAGACAAAAATAGTCGAATTGGGATATGGTTAGGGGTTTCTTAAAATAATTTATGATACAAAAGTTTTTTGTTAAATTCACACTTTAAGTTTTATTTAATTTTATCATTAAAAATATTAATATATTTTCACTGTAGAACTTTGGAAGAGTTTTTGTTAAAGAATGAATGATTTCTATTTTTCATTCAAAATAAAAAGGAATTGAGTCTTTGTCACAAACTCTGATTTTTTAATCACTATATCTTTGGAACCAAACGTTGCATACCTTAGATATTTCAAACTATGAATTCTGTTAGATCAAATAATCTAGGTTTGAAATATCAAAGGTTTACAACATCGAGTTCTAAAGATATTGTGGTTTAGATTTTTGATTTTGTTCCAAAGACTCAATTCCTTTGTTACTAAATCCTTTGAGTTTTCTATGATTCTGCTTTTGGTTCAAAAAGTTATATCACATTTTCTAAGATTATTTTGAAGTTCCTTTCAAATCGTTATTTTTATTATTATTATTATTATTTGATTAGAACCCGAATTATCATACATTTATACTTGCTGAAATTTTCTAGAAAAGTGGATTTGAAATACTGGATTCCCATGCAAGTTTATAGTTCTTAAAAGCCTAAAATCAATTTTATTTTAATAGACACACATGTTACAAAAAAAATAACAAAAAATGTTCCCTAAACAACTTTAAACTCCCATTTCTTCTTAGTCTTTTGTTTCGGGATGAAGACACATTTTTGAATACAGTGGGACTAATAAAACTGCGGAAAAGGAAGATGACTGTTAGACCCAATTTATGAAGTCCTTCATGGAAATGAAAAACAGCAATAGTACAAAATACACAATCCCATTTCAGTTATTAAGTTGATGTTAAAACTACTGTTAAACTAGTTGAATCATAAATGCATCAGTAAATAAATGTCGTTTTTATATTCCACAGTTTTATGGGTCTGACTGTATAAAGAGAGAAAACTCTGACACACTTAAAAACAATTATAATCTGCTATTTTTCAGTTTATGATGCAAAAACTAATCTTAATTGCCCTTCTGGGCTTTGTCTTCATAGCGATCACAGGTATTAAATTTAGGGTTACCAATCAGAATTCCATTGCGCGAAATTGCGCTCAACTGTTCTCGCATTGCACGGAATTGTGCAAAAATTGCACGGAAATTACAGGGCCCAAAATTGCACGCAAGTAAATTCAATTGGAAACCCTAATATTAATGCATGACAAAATTAAGAATTTCAATAACACTTCTTCATCTTCACAGGAGCTGAAACTGAAGAGAACAGTTTTGATGTTATTGAAGCAGAAGTCCTGGAGGTTAGGATGGTTAGAGCTCCACGAAAGAATGGAAATGAAGATGACAATGGCGAAAATACAGACAATGATGTTGATGACAAGCTAAACAAAAGGCAAAGACAAATAATTAAACAAGCAAATCAAGACAATGAAAGCAATGGAAAGGGTGAAGGAAATAGCAAAGAAAATGATAATGATAAAGATGGCAAGAAGAATCTTGACAGAGGGACAAAAAAAAATGCTAGACAAGCAAAAAAAAACCAAGAAAGTGGCAAAGGTCAAGGAAATGATAATAATAAAGAGGGAAACAAAGGAGACAAGAAAGCAGCCAGAAAAGAAAGAAGACGACAACTAGCAAAATCACATGTTAAGCAGAAAGTCAACAAAAACGACAATTATGAAAGAAAAGGTAAATATGGAAAGGGAAATGATGAGAGAAAACCAAATGGAGAGGGTAAAATACATAAGGGAAATGTGGGCAGAAGGCAGAGGAAAGGTAAAAAAGCAGAAAAAAAACAAGATAAAGATGGAGGTAAGGAAGAACAGGAAAATGTTAACTCAAGTAATTTAGGAAAACGTAAAAATAAAATCAAGGCCAGAAAAGAAAAGAAAAACCCCGCTGAAACTGTTAAACAAACAACATGTCCTGTATCTGATCTATGTGTGACTACTGCTGTAAACTATCTTAGAATTGTACAGAACCAGGTTGCCAACTTCAAAAATCAAAAGGCAAGAATTGAGCGACAAAATACAACAGGTTTCAGAAAGAACGAAAAAAAAGATGTGTTTGCAGCAGCTAACAACAGGCTTGTTGAATTTGCTGGAGGCAATAAAACTGCTCCAACCTGTGGAACTCTGACCACTGGAGCAGGAGTTAATAACATCAAGAACTTGACTGACACACTTAACAAGTGCTCTGATAACATCAAGGCTGCCTGTGACATTCCAGCTCTCCCACAACCAAACACAACCTTTGTGGACGGTAAGCTTAAATATATGTTGTCACATATGATTTATAATACTGAAAAGAATCTTTAATTTTCTGAAATTTTTCTTAGATTGCACCAAAAAGACAGAAGCTTTTGAAGCTGGAGTTGAGGAGTGTAGAATAAAGTCTGGAGCTGAAGCCTGTGCATGCTGGACTGCCCCCGCGCTTGGAGCTGATATTGCCACCATAAGGACATGCTCACGTAAGTGTGATGAAAATGTGTTTAAAAGCAGATGTTTTCTCTATTACTTGGAGAAATATAGCATCAAGATAGCATGAAGTCCCTTAAAAATCTATAACCTTTTGACTAAGGGTTTTATTTAAATTATGAATATTTAGTTGCTGATGAAGCAAAAGCTATGGCTGCTGCAGTTACATTATGTAAAGCTGCTTTTTCAAACTGCCGTAAGACTGAGGATGATGTTGCTGGAGCTATCCATGCATGCAGTGTGAGCACTGATGGTTTAAAAAGTAAACTAAAGAGTTTAGCAGCAAACACAGATGCAGTCACCAAAGCAAAGGACAAGATCAATGCAATCATCAATAGTAGACAGATGGTATCAAGACAAGCTGCTGCGTCATGTGCCGAGATTGTTTCCAAAGCTGCAGAGCTGATTAAACTTTTAAATGATTCCCCTGCATCGCCCAAAATAGTTGGGTTAGCTAATTCTATTTCAAACTCTACTGCTGTTTGCAGTGCTGCAGAGAAAACTTCTTTAAGGACTACAGCTACTCAGTTGGAAAGCGGGCTTGCATCCATTGCTGCTGAAGTAGCAGCCGCCCAAGCAACTTTACTTGGTAAGCATCTTTTAAAACATAATTATGAACACAGCAAAGACTTTGATATAATTTTTTTCAGCGGTCACTGGAACAACTGCATCAGCAAGTGTCATTCAAGCAGCTCCAAGTTGCACTACTGACACTTGTGCAGCACCCCAAATATCTGATTCAACCGTAGCTCCTACAACCACCACCCCTGCTCCAACAACTACTAAGGCTCCAACTGGTAGGAGGAGAAGACAGGTTGTAGAAGATATCCTGAAGAGCAAACTTCTTTAAATGTGTAGACAAACATTTATGAACTGGACAATGGATACTGAAAAATGGAACCTAGTATGTAAATCTTATATTTTAATTCAATATTTTATAAACTTTGGCAGATGTCTTTATCAAGCATAAGGGCAGTTATTTAAAAATAATTGTTTACTTTAATGTTTAACCTGTAACTACAAATGACTTTGACTTTATAACTGACTTGTCAACTGACACATTAATTGTTCAAGCTAGTGACTAAATATGACTTTGATATTATGTAACTGCAATACCTGAAATAAATCCTATGTTTTGGGCTTTTTTCTCATTGTTCTTTTATGGAATTTATTGAAACTTACATTTAAATTCTTACATTCTTACATTCATACATTCATACATTCTTATATTCTTACATTCTTACATTCTTACATTCTTACATTCTTACATTCTTACATTCATACATTCTTACATTCTTACATTCTTACATTCTTGCATTCTTGCATTCTTGCATTCTTGCTTTCTTACATTCTTACATTCTTACATTCTTGCATTCTTGCATTCTAACATTCTTACATTCTTAAAATCTTATATTCTTACATTTTTACATTCTTAAAATCTTACATTCTTACATTCTTACATTCTTACATTCTTACATTCTTACATTATTACATTTTTACATTCTTACATGCATACATTCTTACATGCATACATTCTTAAATTCTTACATTCTTGCATTCTTACATTCGTACATTCTTACATTTTTACATTCGTACATTCTTTCATTCTTCCATTCTTCCATTCTTAAATTCTTACATTTTTACATTCTTACATTCTTACATTTTTACATTCTTACATTCTTGCATTTTTACATTTTTACATTCTTAAATTCTTACATTCTTACATTCTTGCATTCTAACATTTATATTCTTATATTCTTACATTCTTATAATCTTACATTCTTACATTCTTACATTCTTACATTCATACATTATTACATTCTTACATTATTACATTCTTACATTCTTACATTCTTATATTCTTATATTCTTACATTCTTACATTCTTACATTCTTACATTCTTACATTATTATATTCTTACATAATTACATTCTTACATTCTTACATTCTTACATTCTTACATTATTACATTTTTATATTCTTACATTATTACATTATTACATTCTTACATTATTACATTCTTACAATCTTACATTCTTACGTTCTTACATTCTTACATTATTACATTTTTACATTCTTACATTATTACATTCTTACATTCTTACATTCTTACGTTATTACATTATTACATTCTTACATTCTTACATTCTTACATTTATGACCCCACGACATATTTTTGTAGTTTAAAAAAATTGGTCACATTAAACTAAAGTGAACTGAACATTAAACTAAAGTGAACTGCACATTAAACTAATGTGAACTGCACATTAAATTAAAGTGAACTACACATTATATTAAAGTGAATTGCACATTAAATTAAAACCTTTCCTTCATAACTTCTTTTAATACTGAAGAGAGTAGAACAAAAATGTTTTGAAATGTATTACATGTAACCTGATAACGTTGCTTTTCGCCTACTTTGGATTAAATAAAAACCAGAGGAGCTACTAGGTCACAAAGTCATGCCAGTATTTTTGCAAAAACTTATCCATCTTTACATATCAAAGTGGCATTACTTAGAAAAGACCCGTTACTAACCCCCTTATCTTTGCATGGAAAAAAAAATTCTTAAAGGGAGTGACCGGCTATGTAAGGTAGTTAACTGAGTATGCAGTGTTGTGGACAACTTCTTTCGGATTCATTTGAGACATATTAAACTTTTTAAAGATCTGTTAATCCTGAGTTTGAGTGCAAATTCGACGTTCAAAACTCCTACTTTGGGGGTGGATAAGTTTTCAGAATTAGTTTTTTTTAATTATTAAATAACAACAACAAAAAATAAAGTAAAAATTATACAGTTATCTAATTGAATGGTTAGGAACATATTTCTCAAAAGAAATTTGTCAATGAATCAATGCTAAAATCGATTATTTCGTTTTCATTATTATATTGAATTTCTAATTTTCTTTGTTTTTTTTTGCAAATTTTTCAAATTTCGTCTTTTCAATAATAATTCTAGAAAATCTGCGAAAATCTTTGTGAGCTAGGATCAGACCTAGCACTCATCATTTTCCTTGCAGCCCTCGTCATCATTTCTTGACAACTGAAGGCCACTAAAGGGTTTTGCTCAAGTTTTCTCTCCTGCCTCTTTCCTCTGAACAAAAAAATATTAAAAATAGAAATTTACAAACTTGAACTTTGCTGTTAATGATTGATGATGTGTATACCGGACAATATTTTATTAGATAGAACGAGTAATAATTAGAAGTGAGCATATAAATCATTAGGACAAACCCTTCACCTTCACAGCTACTCCTGTTCAAATAAAGAGCACAGTAAGCTTTCATGCTGTTGATTGGTGTTAATGAAAAGTTCGTCCACAGAAAAAATTATGCTCACTTCCCTAACACTTCTAATTAATTTACTCTTTGTGACATTTCCGGTTTTAGATATTTTACTGACAAAGGTTATTTCAACCTTGCGCTCCAGGCATTGTGAAACCACGCCCAATTTCCATTCTACACTGGATTTATCATACCCAGAATCATTCAATGTAAATAATACAACATCATCAATCACTGGCAGTCTACTACTAGAGTTCCATTTATCCGGTTTCAATGTAAACATATGAATATTATCAATAAAAAGTTGGAACCAAAACTTATATACATCTCTATTTCTCTCCAGGATACTTGTAGGGATTTTTGAAGAATTTATATCGAAACCCTGTCCCTGGAGAGATCTAGCATTATTACGACCTAAAAGTAGCCTATTTGGTGTAAGAATCTCAAGCCCCAAATTAGATACAGTTGAGGTGTCACCCCGGGCAATAGGAAGATCATTTAAATCAGAGGATATTCTGGCAAATTAAGTCTCCCATTGAATGCTAGTCATAGGATTAGTTGTTTTAATTCCCATCCTCTCTAACATTTCTCTCAAAGATCTTATCTTTCTCTCTACTCTTCCTCTTTCAGAGTGTGCCTTTGCATTGCTCACATGTACTCTTATCCCTAGAGAATCATAAAGCTGAGTATCCGCATCTCTTATAGAGAATCTGACATGCTTTAAAGCCATTAGTTGAGTACCACAGTCTACATAAACAGAGGGGACTCCATGGCGAGCTGAGTGCCTTTCTAACATTGCAACTATACTAGGTTTCTTACACTGAGCTAGATATATTCTTTTTGCCTGTCTATAATTGCTATCTGATCCATGTTTTTTACTAAGAAATTCTACAGGATCTTTAATAAACGGTAAAGTGGCAACTACTTTTTTAGAATGAAAATCTAATGTAACGACATTTTCAATGTAGGACTGTTCTAAAGACTCTTGCAAAGAAATAGAAGTGAGTCTAGGGGATTTCATGCACTTAATACATTTTGCACAACTATCACATCTGTATGTAACAAGATTGTCAGAATCATCTTCTCAAACTAGTTCTCTCATTCTAGCTATGGGAATGGATACTTTATAAACCTCACAAAAGTGAGCTTCAGGTCCCTTCGTGTAGGATTTTAAATTATCTTTAGGTTCATGCATAAAATCCCCCCCCCCCTCCTCTATCTCTCCTCCCATTTCTAACAATGTGCTCTCTGGGATGGGTGTGGGATTAATAGATATATTAAACCTTTTATCAACTTGGATTGAAGGATACAGATCCTCAACTCGTCCTTGATAATTTAGGGTTTTTTCTCTCAAATGAAAGATTGCATGAGATAAATCTTTACTCAGGTTGGAGTTTACTCTAGAGAATGAAGAGTGGGGACCCGCGTAAATTACTCTAGATCCAAAGATGTCTACAAAAGGACTCTTATAAACCCCTACTCCAGAAGGTAGGAAAGTTATTAGTGTGGGATTAAGATGATTATTCTTGATACCTATCAAAAGTTTGACCTCATCCCCCGCAGCATACTCTGGTAGTGGCTCCCCATTATATTCCATCTAACATGAGGATTCATGCTGAAGAATTCTTTACACTGAAACATTTCATGAGCGTGTCCTTTCAGGGGGCAAGGGTATGATGAACCTGGTGGAAACCAATTCTTAACCGGAGAGTATCCAGCAGCATGTGTAGATAAATCTCTCTGAAAGGGGGGGGGGGTTGGTTGACCTTGATTTACATTGAACACTGTTCTAGATTTGGGTAATGGGGGGGAGTTTGACTTAGGATTAGATCCCTTGTAAGGTTCCAGAATATTGCGTTGAGCTTCACATAATTCTTTGAAAAAGGCAAATGTTCTAGCCCCTTGGGGATTTTTCCAATCTAATCTTTTTAATTCCAAAATATTATCTAATTCATCTATATCTACATATGGTACTCTTGCTAATCTGTCTAGTCTAGCTATTCCCAAGGTGATATCTGCATAGAATTCATATCTTTGTTTGTCACTGTCTGAGCAGGTTTAGGCTTTGCAGCCAAACCTGAGATAATGTCAGAAACAATTGTATTAGGTGACCCATATTCCTTGAACAACCAAGCTTTAAGTTTTTGGTAATCATCAGAAATATTGAGGGATTTAGTTTTTTTTTATCTTCAGTTAAATGCCTGGAGAATACTAGCATAGCTCTTTGCTTATTTGAACCCAACCTACTAAAGCAATCTCTAGATCTTCAAAGAATTCATAGATAGACTTATTTGCATTATTAGAGAAGATTCCGACCCCACTAAGATCTTCATTAACAGAGCAAGAAGCGTGGGCTTCAGATGAGGAATAAATTTGTTCAACATTTATAATCCAATCATTTGCACTGTCTAATAAGGATTTTGTCTGGGAATAATATTTTGAATCTATATCATCATAAGAAATGTACTTCATTAAAAGATCATGGCAGGTTTTGGAATAACCTGTAAACTTTTTCACATCAGAATTACATTTCTTGATGATGGCAAGATCAGAAGATTCTGATATTTTGGTTTCTATTAATTGATTCAAGAGTTTGGTAGAACTATCAATTGCATTCTTAGTTAAGTCTCGCTCTTTCTCTTGTGGAGGACCAGTTTATTCATATATATTTATCATATTTATCCCTGTTTATGTTTACGTGGAAGTTGACCAGTTCCTGTCAACTCCCTCTTTGTACTTTACTATACACATTGTACACAAATATATATTCAGACATCCAGTGTTCTCTCTCTTGAGTAGATCTAGTTTCCAACCTTTACACTCTTTCTTTTCTAAACTTACTCTGGGAGGGATCTCGGTT